GTTCAACATGTATAAAGTACTTACCTCATAAATGCCAAGTACTTTGTTAAGAACTGAGGATACACTGAGCAAAAGTAAACATAGCTCCTGTCCTCATAGAAAGGAGAATTAGTCAAAGAATTCTACACAATAAACAACAAAAAGAGAACCAGGAGTCAGTGGTTCACAGCTGTAGTCCTACCTACTCAGGAGCCTAAGATCTGAGGATCAAGATTATCTCCATTTACACAGCAAGAATGTTAGATATAGAGATCTGACTCAAAGATACAGTGCCTGCCTTGCATGAAAAAGCTAAGCAAGAGTGCAAGACCCTGAGTCCAAGCCCCAGGGTGTAAATGGGAGAAACACACACACACACACACACACACACACACACACACACACACACACACAGCCCAAAAGAGAGGTTTATGGTGTTATGAGAAAAATACTGACAACTGCAGTGGTAACAGTAAGTATGGTGAGTACCGTGAGAGGTGGAAGTGCCTGAAGTCACACTATAGATAAGCTGACAGAGCTGAGATAGGCCTTCATCTAACTAGCCTCAAAGCCTGTGTATCTCTCTTCCTTGACATTTACTCCATCATTCAGCATTAGCTACTAATCATCTACTGTGTACTAGGCCTGTGTCAGGTTCTAGGAATGCAGCCCTGAACAAACTAGACACGGCACTCCTGGAATTTACAGCCTAGCCATTCAACGAACAAGACTATAAAGAGATGTATACAATTATAGGTCCAGATAAATACCAAGAAAGATCAACAGGTAAAATTACCTACAGAGCCACAGCACATCCTCCACTTGCCTATTGCACAGGAGCAAAGGACCTTAGGAAACCTATTTTATCAGAGCCGGATACTGACTATCACTTCATTGGCCGGTACGTGAACTCAGGGCAGAAGCTATTATGTCTCAAACTTAGCATAGGCCCTGCTGAAAAACAAGTCTTTCTAAAAGCATTACTGACATCTGAATTTACTTAAATATCTGCCCTCAGGCAGACATCACTGTGTCCATATTTTAGTATCTTTCACACACATTCATTCATTTGCTTCTCACAGTAGCCCTATGTAGAACACGTCAGATTTTGTTTTGTTTTGTTTTTACACTGTTAATGGGGCTTGAACTCAGAGCTATATGCTGTCCCTTACCTTTTCAGCTCAAGGCTAGTGCTCTACTACTTGAGCCACAGCTCCACTTTCAGCTTTTTGGTGGTTAGTTGTAGAGTTTTCCAGGCTTTCTTGCCCAGGCTGGCTTCAAATCATAATTCTCAGATCTCAGCCTCCTGAGTAACTAGGATTAGAGGCGTGAGCCACTGACACCCAGCCCCACAGGTAAGTTTTAGTGTCCTACTTGTGGGGTGAGGAAACTGAGGCCCAAAAAGGCGAAGTGACTCCATCAGGGTCACTGAACTAAGAAAGCACCTAGATCTGCCATCCAGTTCTCACAAGAAGCAGGAAATCATGAGTCTCAACTAAGACTGCCACAGGTCACTAAACCTGGGTAAAGTCACCCAGGAGTCTCTTGAAGTTCTTAAGAACAATGATCAGGGACATCAAACAGATTGGGAAAGGTTTCTAGAATGCAGCTCTACCAGCCTGAGACACAGGTACCCTTGCCAACTCTCCCAGATTAGAACAGGTTCTCCTGGACTCTTTCCAAGTGCCTCTGACTAACAGAGAAAAGTATTTTTCCATTGCAAATGCAGGCAGACACCAGACTCCTGAGAGGGGAGGGCAGAGAGCACGTTCAGATTCCTATAACATCTTCGAAGTTATACTAATGAACTACCCTACCTGAACATCTTCCACTGGGGGCACCAGTACTACACAGCATTTCTCAATCTTGACACTGCTAACATACAGACTGGGTCATTGGGTCATTTTAGTTAAAAATGGCGGGGGGCGGGGAGGAAGGGGTGGGGAGAAGGGAGAGCACCTTTGCACTGTAGGATATTTAATAGCATTCCAGGCCACTATCTAATAGCTGCCAGTAAAACCTTTTCCCCAATCATGACAATCACTTTTCTAGCCATTGCAAATGTCCTCTAGGGGACAAAATTACTTCTGGTCTAGAGATAAAGGGGACAGAGAAAAGCCAAGTGTTCTCCTTCTCTCTCATCCTATCCCAACCCATCCTTCTGGCCACATATATGGTCACTAGGCCTATGGTTACAAAATCCGTTAGTCCATAGCTAGATAGCTATGTGCCATTGTAGCCTGCAAGTATGTCTCAGAGAAATTCACTACTGCAGCTTGGGAAAACAATGAGTCAAATATCTCCTTGCTCTACTAATGAGCTGCTTCTGACCCGTGAGGAAATCATGTTCCCATTAATGTGAGCAGCTGAGTCTGATTAAATAGAAGCCCTGGGTGTTTCTATCAATGACATCAGGCCAGGGCAAGGGCTTCCACGGCTGCCAGAAAGAACACAAAATTGGTGAATCAAATAGCAGGAGACTCCCATTTACCCAAAATTCAGTAAAACAATGAGGATTCTCAAACATTACAGCTTTTAACCATTCTGGACTTAAGAGAAAGGGGAAGTGGCAATATAAGTAAACAAGGGACCTGAATTAACAAGTTAATTAAACAGCTGAAACACTGCCACAAAATCAAGCTCTTGTGAGTGGAGGTGGAAATCGAAAGCTGAGCTCCAGAGCAGCTGGAGTGACTCAGCCAGTGTCAGCAATGTGGGTTCCAACCTCCCACCCCAAGGGCTGGGCTGCTGGCCCAGACATGACAGTCAGCATCAGTTACAATGCTTCAAAGAAGCCACATCTTTATGTCTTTCATTAGTCAGCTTCCTAACTAGTTAAAGGGTTTACTGACAGACTCAACCAAACTCACTGCTATTTGGTAGTAAGTGTATTTTACTGCACTACCAACCTTTGAGAAAACTGACTAACCACGAAATGAAGCGCCCACCTGGTAACACCTAATTATTCGAACTACTGCCAGTTTTTCTGCTGCTTTTGCACTTTGTACTTAGCTCTGTTGTTGTACATGTCATACTAGAATGTACTGAAATTTGATTACAGGCCTACCTCACCTAAAGGAGTCCATAAGAGCAAGATCTGAGTCTAGTAAAAGGCACAGTGCATTTGTGAGATAGATGAACAGATGGATGGATAGATGGGAAAGTTTTCCATCTTTATTCTCTTAGACTTAAGCCTATCTTATACATTCTAATGAGAAAGCATGGCCCATGTCCTTTCTCCTCTGCTTCTCTAAAGTTTAACATTGCTTAACAGGTATCCAAAACACATTAGCTGTTTTGGTTGGACAAAGTGAAGTCTTCCTTCTACTAATAAAACAGTGCATCCCAGAAAAGGGATCCAAAATCCTAGCTGTCAACCCCGCCTTATCTGCATTAGAGTATGTTTAGGCTCTTCTAACTAGAAATAGTCTAACATAGAGAAATGAGTATTCTCTGAGAGGCAGTGAAGACAAGAAGATTAATATAATTACTACCTTCATAAAGTTATCTGGGAAAAAATCCATATTAACAATCACACAAATGGATGGGGGGATTGGGGTGGAGGCTCGGAAGGGATGTGAAGGGTAAACAAAGGAGGAGGCTGCAATGCTTGGTAAGAAATGTACGCATTATCCTGCCCATGTAATTGTAACCCCTCTGTACAGTATGTTCACAAAAAAAATAAAATATATAAAAAAAAACAATCACACAAATAAACAGCTATTCTGCTCTAAACTTTAGGAAAAGCTTCTTTCTATAGATGTCCCAATCTTTAAGCAGACTGATTCTCTTTTAAAAAAAAAAAAAAGACTTGGTTTTCTTCTAAATGAATAATACAGTTTTATAGAGCATCTTCTGAAATGATAATATGGAAATTTTATTATATGCCTTTGTTATACAGACCCCTTTTACAAAGAAATCATTTTTGTGTGTGTGCGTGTGCCAATGCCAGACCTCAAACTCAGAGCTTGACACTCTCATTTGGCTTTCTTGCTCACAGCTTGTGCTCTACCACTTAAGCCACACCTCCAATAAGCCATTTTTCTGATTATCTGGAGGCAAAGTCATGAAGAATTTTCTGCCTCGGCTGGCTCTGAACCATGATCCTCCAGGTCTCAGCCTCTTGAATAGCTAGGGTTATAGGTGTAAGACACTGGGGCCCATCTCAAAATGATCATAAAAATTTTTAAAGACCATTTAAAAGCATGATAGAGCCAAGCACCAGTGGCTCAGGCCTGTAATCCTAGCTCCTCAGGAAGCTGAGATCTGAGGATCACAAGCTAGAATGCAAACAATAGCAGACCAGAGGACCCGAGAACCCATGAAGTTCAGAAGGCCTTGACACAATAATAGACATTAAGAATTACAAATCATCTGTCTGAGGAACTATATGTTAGTTTGCAGAAGCTCTTTGACAACAGAGATGAAGAGAGACCATGAAAATCCAAAACCCAAGAACAAAGGAATACAAGGCCAGGAAAGAACTATTCTAAGGGAAAGATGAGAAGCAGATGAAGACTCCAAGAAAATGAAGATGCCAAAATCTATATGGTCTGATGTGGTAGCATCTGAGGGAATAGGAGATGTCTGAATTGATGTACATAATTTTGAAAGGTCAATAAAAATTTAAGTCAGAATATCATGCCAGCCTTAATCCTGAAGTATTTATCTTTAGCTTCACAAGCTTCTGATGCTTTTAGTTTAGACTCATGCAGAAAGTCATCTCTTCAACTATGACAAGGCAAGGATTCCCCAACGACCTAAACGTATTTGTGGGTGATGACTGCTGCAATGGTTTCTTTTTCAAAACCGCAGTGTCTCTCAGGATCCAAAGGAGTCAACCATCCAGCCTTGCATTCATTGGTACAAATCTGTGATCCAGGGAAGAAAAGCCACATACCTCGTGGATGGCTAAAGTAGGCATGAGATCTTCTTCATCCAGTCCTTAAATCTTTTTGTCAATAAAAATCGGGAATCCCAAATTACTCTTACCAAGCCCAAATTTTCTGATACTCTCTCACCTGTCTGAGCAACCAGATGTGTCCACCCACTCCAGACGGCAGTGACCTTTTCATTCTGAAACCAATGTGCTTCTATTTTCTGAGGTAGAAGAAGGAAAGCAGCCTGGGTAGCCAGTTGCCCATGCTTGTTACGTCCCCAAACATACAGCTCTCCTGCATCTTAAACAGAAAAGAACATGAGGTGAAGAAACATTTGCCCCCAAATGATGGAAAACAATATATATCTGAAAAACAAACTTTGATCCTTATACTACAAAGTTTCTATATATAGGCAAAAAGGCTTAATATGCTCCATAATTTAAGGAAATAGAATATGTGTTTTCTTTATTTATTCATTCAATATTTACCCTATATGAGATATAATTTCCTATTTTCTATATTTTAATACATGTTTACATTACCTTTTGTTAAGAAGAAAATGTTTTATTTTTTTAAATAACAGAAACACTATTTAAATGCTTTAACTTTTTAAGTGTAGGATTCTTTCCCTGGATGTCCTAACAGAAAGCATAGTGCTACTGCATCACATCTGCATAGTACTTCAGCTCACTGCAGTCTCACTATAATCCTGTGATAAAAGCAGAAATGACTGACATTGTGATTTAATAGAGGGGGGGAAAAAAGCAAATTCAGAGTCAAGTGACTCTGGCTTCTATTCCTGGATGTTGCTAACTAGCTATTGACCTTGGACAAATCACTTCCTCTCTAAGCCTGAGTTTCGCCAGCTGAATACTGGAAGGGAGGGCAGTTGGTATAGAAGGGCAGACTATATGGCTGATGAAATTAGTAACAAAAGCAACTGGTGAGTGACAGTGGCAAACCAGAGAGACTGTCTAAATTGGCACTCAAGATTTTAGATGAAAGGCAAACAAAATGAAGCCAATGCTACAATTTAATCTGTGGGATATCCATTTCTAACTCCTCAAAATTTCTCTATAAGCTTTTCTTGGCCTTTACATTTTAATTCTATAAATACTAATCAAAGGTACTAGCCATACATGGCTAATGAACACTTGAAATATGCATAGTACAAGCTGAGACATTATAAAAGGTGTGAAAAATACACAATAGATTACAAAGAGCAAAAGAAATGTGTGACTCATTACTAAGTTTCCTATTGATTACATGTTGAAATAATATTTGGGATATTCTAAGTAAAATACATTATTAAAATTGATTTTACCTGATTTCATTTTTTGCATTATGACAGTAAGTTAATGAAGGTTGAAATATGTTAAGTGGCATTAAGATGACATACTACTAAGAATCTGTGGCCAATTATGAGACTAGAAGCCATATTTTTCTGTTTCTATTGCATTTTATGACTGCCCAATAAAACTTCATAGTTTTGCATGGCCCAAGGATATCTGTTATACTCCCTCAAATTCATCAAAAACCAGTGGGCTGGGAATGTGGCTTAGTGGTAGAGTGCTTGCCTAGTATGCATGAAGCCCTGGATTCAATTCCTCAGTACCACATAAACAGAAAAGACCAGAGGTGGAGCTGTGGCTCAAGTGGTACAGTGCTAGCCTTGATCAAAAGAAGCTCAGGGACAGTGCCTAGGCCCTGAGTTCAAGCCCCAGGACTGGCAAAAAAAAAAAAAAAAACAGTATTAGTAACTGGCATTAGAGCCAGGAAATTGAAACAAGGGTTTTTTTTCCTTTGTTGTTGTTTTTATTTTATTTTTGTCTTGTTTGTTTATCTGTATTGGGGAGGGTAAGGGGACATACAAAAATGGAGGGAACAAATGCAGCAGTAACACTTACTAGACACTATATTGAAAATGAATTACACAACTTGTGGGTGGAGACAAGAGAAAAAAGCTGGGAGAGAATAAGGGAAGGAGTGACATAGTCCAAAAAGAAATGTACTCTTTACCTGACTTATGTAACTGCAACCCCTCTGTACATCAATCTTTAAAATAGCAATCATTTTTTTAAGGCATGAGAACCAGGCACCAGTGGTTTACACCTGTAATCCTAGCTGCTCAGAAGGCTGAGATCTGAGGATCATAGTCCAAAACCAGCCTAGGTATTCAGCTCTGAGAAAATTTTATCTCCAATTAACCAGTAAAAGGCCAGAAGTAGAGAAGTGGTTCAAATGGTAGAGTAATATCTTTGAACTAAAAAGCTAAGCAATGCCTAGCATGCATGAAGCCCTGGGTTCAATTCCTCAGTAAAAAGTCAGAAGTGCTGTGGCTCAAGTGGTAGAGTGCTAGCCTTGAGCAAAAAGAAGCTCATGGACAGTGCCCAGACCCTGAGTTCAAGCCCATGACTCACAAAAAAAAAAAAAAAAATCTAGGCAAGAGCCAACATCCTATGCTTAAGCCCCAGTACTGGAATACTCTACACACACACACACACACACACACACACAGCATTTGACACACACACAGCATTTGAAAAGGGCTCAAAGTCTTCAGTTCAAGTCCACCTGCTAATCCATCACTGTTACCAGACATATAACTTCACATGCTTGGTATCTGTTTCCTCATCTCTAAAACAAGCTAGTGTAAACCAGTGAAGCTTTTTTTTTTTTTTTTTTTACCGAGGCCACCCTGCAGCATTGATATTCTGCAGTTCTATGGAACAAATTTGGTGTATATTTCATTCTCAGATATAAGGCAACTCTCTTGGAATTCACTGAGGTATATAAAACATGAGAATCCCTTATAGGGGGCAAAGAAGTCCCCCCAGTAAAATAGCAAACCCTTAAATGCACCAAGGAACTGGGGATACATCAATGCTGAAGGCATCTGCACTATGCCTTGGTGTCCAAGCCATCTTTTTGAAAGACAAACTGTCTTCCACATGAGTATCATTACACTGTTGCGTCAGCAGGTAAAATTAAATTCTGCTGCAATGCCAAATAGTTATATAATCTGCAAGGACTCCAAAGGAAAGGTCTAAAGAGCACTGAAAAAATCCAATGTGTTAACAGTCTGAACTAGATGAGAAAAGAGGGCTATTAATCTTGACAATTTTTAACTCACTTTCAAGTGATCAAAACCAACTCACTTTGTGAATATACTAAAAATGACAAAATGGATACAAAATGAATATCATATCTAATCACAAAAAAAATTGTAAGAAATTGACATTAGCTAGGTGCTGATGGCTCATGCCCGTAATCCTAGATACTCAGGAGACAAAGCTAGCCCAAATGCAGAAATGAGACTATCTCCAAAATAGCCAGGATGGGGGCATAGCTCAAATGACAGAACACCGACCAAGTAATAAGCAAGTTAAACAAGTTCAAGGCCCTGAATTCAAACCCCAGTACTGGCAAACACACACACACACACACACACACACACACACACACACACACACACACACACATTCACACACTCATACATATTAGCAGGCAAGTAGACAATTTCTAGGTTTACATAACATCAGACATTTCATATTAATTAGAACACAGGAGAAATGTTTGCATCTGAGTCTACTCTTACACTCAGATAAAAATGCCCTCCTTCTATCACTGGCTGTGGGCTAAACACAGCACTTCTCACCTTGCTTCCTATGTAGAAAGAAATGTGGAATCGGGAGCCAATAGTTGCTTAAAGCTGGCATCACATCAACTCAACACTTCTAACAAACATATAATCTACCTAAGTGAGATGCAGGATAAAAGTAAGTTGGCAGTTTTACATTCATTAAACAATAAATCTTTATAGAATATGTAAAGTATTTAACACATGGCGGCTTTGGTGTCCTGGAAACAGCAGCTCGCTTTAACTACACTGTGAATACAGTGCTAGGCAAGAACACATGCTGCCCAGGAGATAGAAAGGTAAGGTGGTGGTGCTAGAATTCTGGCTTCAAAGTCTATGACCATCCATATGAACCTCAACAGGCAGTCATGTTCAGAATTCTGAAAGGCATATTCAACTTTGAAAGATATACCTACCTGTTAATGAAGCAGAATGGTCTGAGCCAGCAAGAACACATGTTGCTTTAGAACTCTCCAGATCTGCCAAAAAAAAAAAAAAATGTTTCTTTAACAAACTGGGCACAGAGGGACATAAATTATGGCAACTCATAGTCTGTCATGCAGAGAGGCCAGCATAACCTGGGTGAAGGGAGAAGCTCTCAGTCAGAGCAGGTGACTATGAGTTAGCACCACTGGCGAAGATGGGTGGCAGGTGGGAGGCAGAAACAAACTAGGGTCTGAGACAAATAAGTAAGCATACTGAAAATAAAGCAGCCAGATCCATCACTATCCCAGAGGAGAGAGAAAGAACAGATTTGAAAAAGGGCAAAAGCTACAGCTAGCCAACTAAAGGGGGAAAGAAGAAAAACAAAATCTAGCAACAAAAAAATCTGGTGCTGTCAAGCACCAGTGGCTCACATCTATAATCCTAGTTACACAAGAGGCTGAGAGCAGAGGATCACAGTTCAAAGCCAGCCTGGGCAGTCAGTGAGACTTTTTATCTCCAATTAACCACCAAAAAGCCCAAAATGGAGCTGTGGTTCAAGTATAGAGTGCTAGCCTTAAGCAAAAGAAAATCAGGGAGAATGCCCAGGCCCTGAATTCAAGCCCCAGGACTGTAGTGTTATATATATATATATATATATATATATAATATATATGGGCTGGGAAGGTGGCTCAGTGGTAGAGCGCTTGCCTTGCATGCATGAGGCCCTGGGTTTGATTCCTCAGCACCACATAAGCAGAAAAAGCCAGAAGTGGTGCTGTGGCTTAAGTGTTAGAGTGCTAGCCTTGAGCTGAAGAGCTGAGGGACAGTGCCCAGGCTCAGGCCCCAAGACTGACCAAAAAAAAAAAAAAAAAAAAATATATATATATATATATACACACACACACACACACACACACATATGATTATGTGTAACTATATATAATATATAATTATATGATATATGTTATATATCATACTATAAATTATATTTTCTATTATTATATTGAAATATTGTATATTATAAATTATATATACTTACATATATATATATATATATATTATCTCCAATGTTATTGGATTGTAACTGAAGAAATCAATATAAATTCATGGTTTATAGTAGAGACAAATAGATATAGATATATACATGTGAAAATATGTGTCTATGTGTGCCTGCATTTCTTAGGATTACCTTCTGAGTGACCTTCAGAAGCAAGAAATCTCTCATGTGTTTAACTGCTGCTGTGTATAGGACTTAACTACAAACTTAGGCCTGCTCCAACATAGAGCAGAACTAGAATTTAAACCTGGCACCAGTCTCCAAATCCAGCACTTTCCCCCTTTAATTACGCTGCCTCCTCTGGTGAGGCACTCAGGATAAACTATGGCAACTCATAGCCTGGCATGCAGACACACGCAGTCTTATTCTAAACTCTTCAGACATTTCTTTTGAGTTCACAAAAGTCACTTCATTCCAAGTATGCTGTGAAATGAATAGGACAAAACAGGTATTTTCAGAGAATATATCACTGGAGAAGAATCCAGGAGCTCCTGTGGCCAGGAAAGGAGAGGCAACCAGGGATCTAACTCCAGAATATGGTAATAAGGTGAAAGTGGGGGAAATAGAAATGAAAGGCCTTAAGAGCGGGAAGTTGGTATTCCAATACCTCTTTAGAAAACTCCTCCAAATCAACTGAGTCTAAGCTGCTACTCAAGCAGATCCTAAATGTATCATTTAAATCAAATAAGTATTTTTTTATTCCTTATTGTTACTGGTCCTGTGTAAAATATAGAGAAGAATGACATACAGTTCCTGCCCTTTAAAAGTTCATAATCTATCTAGGTGTGATAGCACACACCTATAATCCCTGCACTGAGGAGATTAAGGCAGAAGAATGTCAACTTTGAGGCTAGCCTTGGTGCACAGCAAAAACCTGTCTCAAAAAAAAAAATGATTTGTAATTCTTCTGTATGGTATTTTCACAATAAAAAAAATGATTAAATAAAAGTTTGCAATCTGTGGTATATGAGAAAACCCATAAACAATTCATAAGATTAAAATATTTTGTGCTATCCATACACATGAAGAAAATGCAATGGAAGGCAGATAGGAAGGACAGTACATGTCTGAAACACCTATATCTGAGCCAGGAAGAAAAAATGCTTTTCATAGTTTCCCACAGCCAACCCATGGGCTTCAACAAGCTGATCCCAGCTCTAGCTGAAGAACAAAACCTCCATGGCTTTGATCCCAATTCCTGTTGCACCACCACTCCCCCTACAGGCTGCCCTGCCCTATTCTAGGACAATACCTCCTTCATTCTGAGCTTCAGAAGAGATCTCCTGTCTAGGTTTTTCCCACAGCCAATCCTCAATAAACTGGGACACAAAGAGTGTGAGAGGAGGGAAAAAAAGGGAGAAGATAGAGACATGGTACTATAGGCAGAGAATAAAGACCCACAAAGAGAGCAGGAAATAGAGAGCTGATAAGAGGTGGAGGTAGAGAAGAAGAGAAAGGGGAAGAAAGAAATAAACCCTACAGACAAACTGGCCACAAGAAGTCCAAGTAACAGACCTATAGCAGAACACTTTTACCCACTCTCTTGTGTTTTTCCCTATAGGAGGTCCTGGCCCTCTCTCTCCATCCTCTCTCCTTCCTGTACCTCTCTGGGGAGAAGAAACTGGACATGTGCAACACGTCTATAGTTCTAAGTTCCCTCTTTGGGGGTGCCTGCCTGCAGAGAGGTTGCACTCTTATGTCCTCATAGTCATCCAAGCTTAGCAGGTACCATCAGTGCAGCTGCCACAGTGCCGGGTGGATAAACCGAATTCTGGATTCAGAATTTACAACTCAGTATTACTAGATATTGTTTTTAAACACCTAAGTTATGTCTTCCAAGCAGTTTTTAACAGTTTTTGATTGTAATCTTCACCTCCTTGACTTGTCTCTATTTCTTAATATGTCCCAAACATTGGACCTACAAAAAAATCCCAACCAGTGTACCCCATCACCTAACAGGGAGAGTTAGACAGAGAGATCACAAAATAACAGAAATAATAATTTCATTTATCCATTTGTGTGTGCTTGCATCTACTTCATCACCCCGTGTGTGCATGTGTATACATGCATGTGTGTGTGTGTGTGTGTGTTACTAAAAAGAAAAAAAAAAGACCCTCACCTGTCACTCTGCTCGGTTCCTTTGCTGTCAAAAACGATGGAAGAGCCTGCCCAGGACACAGCCGTCGTGCAGAAGATGCCAAACCAGTTCCCCACTGGAACACAATGCCACTCACTTCCCAGCGAAGCAGAAGGGAAAACAGAAAATGAACATCGGGATAAGACCAATTACTCTTTGAGCCTAACTGCTATGGGAAAGTCCCAATCCATCTTCAGTTAAGATAAGTATAATGGAGTTCAATTGCTTAAAAGGTCCTATAACTGGGATTACAAATGCAGTCTTCTAGTAACTGAAAACCACCAAAGAAAATTCCAGTATCAGAAAACCTCCTCTAAAATATCTCAGGACACTGGACTAGTGTCCAAATTACTGGAATGCTACTTTGTTCCTAGTTAAACTGAAAGGGCAACTGAGACTCGAAAGCAAATAGAAAGTAAAACCTTGATGATCACCAAGTTCATTCCTCACATTTATTAGATGAGAAAACTGAGGCCCTAAAGAGAGGATATGCACTGTCCAAGTCACACAGACAGATAGTAGCAGAGACAAAGGTAGGAGTCAACTGACCTAAAACCTAAGGGAGTGACTTTTCCATTACACCAAGATAAATGCACAGATTCTCAACTGCTAGTTAAATGTAGGGCCACAAGAAAGCTTAACAACATGATTTCAGGAGAATGGCCTGTTCTTCCCATGTCCACTGAATCTGACCTACATATCCACAGTCCTGAACCTCCTACAAATGCACAGACAAAATTCTATTTTCTCAACAATCAGATGTGTGGCACTTGGAACCAGTACCAACATTAAAGTCTGCTCCTATAGTCCAATAGTCCTTTAAGATGTAAACAGACAAGGCTGCTTTATGAAAAATAAGCTATCACCACTGAGTGCAATATGAGCAAAGCATGGGGATATAATAAAACAAAACTTATAATCCACTCAAAAAAAAAGTTTGAGGGAGGTAGGGAAAAATAGAGAACTTAAGGGAGGGAGAGAAAGGGGAAAAGAGAAGAGGAGGAAGAGGAGAAAATAAAGAAGGAGAAGAGAAACAAGAATCTGTAGTATAATTTAAAAAAAATAAAAAATAAAAAGCGGTTACCGGAACAAAAAAAAAAAAAAGAATCTGTGGTATATATATACACTATGGAATTTGATGTCTCCATCAGAAAGAATGACATCGCCCCATTTGTTAGGAAATGGAAAGACTTCGAAAAAATTATATTAAGTGAAGTAAGCCAGGCTCAAAGAAACATAGGCCCCATGATTTCCCTTATTTGCAGTAACTAGTATATGTCTGGGACAAGCAGAAAAGGTCAAAAGCTATGTACAATATGACCAGATTAAGATGATGTTAATCGAAATGAACCCCAAGATAAGGACACAAGTGGTTTTTTTTCTTTCTTGCTATTGTTCCTAACATATTTATAATGTACCATGTGATTTTTTTTGTTTCTTTGTATGTTCCTCCCCCATGGTATAACCCCTGTTTTCACTGTATTTGTATATATACTGTATATTGTATATTTCACTGCATCTTGTATGTACACTTCTCTAGCTTGGGGAGGGGAAGGGAAAAACAAAATGCTTAAATAGGGAGATGTACAAGACACTATGTTGAAAAACAAATTTTACAATTTAGGTGGGGATGGGGGAGGGGGGAGTGTAGTTATGGAGGTGGGAGGGAAGGGAGGGTAGGGGAAAAACAAAGGAGGGGGTAACAATGCTTGATAGGAAATGTATTCATTACCTTGCTCATGTAACTGTAACCCCTCTGTACAGTATTTTTATGATAAAAAACGTTTTTTAAAAAAAAGAATCTACACTTGAAAAAGAATTTCAGATATCTGATAAAGGATTAACATCCATAATATATAGAGAGAAGTTTTTTTTATTGTTTTGTTTTGTTTGTTTTTTGGGGTCCGGTCGTGGGGCCTAAACTCTGGGCCTGGGCACTGTCCCTCTGCTCTTCAGCTCAAGGCTAGCACTCTACCACTTGAGCCACAGCGCCACTTACAGCTTTTTTCTTTTTGCTTATGTGATACTGGGGAATCGAACCCAGGGCCTCACGCATGCAAGGCAAGTGCTCTACCACTGACCCACTTTCCCAGCCCGAGAAATTCTTTTTAAAGAGTGAGGGAAAATCAAGAAACTACACCAGGTGCAAAGGCTCACATCTATAACTTCAGCTAACTGGGAGATGAAATTCAGGAGGATTGTGGTTCAAGACTAGCCCAGGCAATTCAGCAAGACCCCATCTCAACAAATAATCTGGCTGTGGTGGTTCATACCTGTAATCCCAGCTACCAGGGAACTATAGGTAAGAGGATCATGCTCTAAGACTACTCCTGGTCAAAAGTTCAATATGTTATCCAAAAAAACCATTAAAGCAGCCGGGCACCAGTGGCTCATGCCTATAATCCTAGCTACTCAGGAGGCTGAGATCTGAGGATCACGGTTCAAAGCTAGCCCGGGCAGGAAAGTCTGTGAGACTCTTATTTCCAATAAACCACTAGAAAACCAGAAGTGGCACTGTGGCTCAAGAGGTAGAGCGCTCACCTTGAGCTGAAGAGCACAGGGACAGTGCCCAAGCCCAGAGTTCAAGCTCCACGACTGACAAAAAAAAAAAAATCATTAAGGCAAATAGGGCTAAGGGACTAGCCCAAGTGGCAGAATCCTACACCAGAGTTCAACACCCAATATGAAGGAAGGAAGAAAAGGAGGGAGGGGGGGATCTTCTTCCACAATCCTTCAGAGATAACAACCCTGAGATCGTCTAGACCTTCTAGACCAACTGGATATTACAATTCTGTAACATTATTATAGAACTATTGTTCATTTTGTTAGGCTTCATGATAACATAGGTTATTTTCAAAGAGTACTTACTTATCTTTTAAAGATACATACATAAATATTTATATCTTGGGCTGGGAAGGTGGCTCAGTGGTAGAGCACTTGCCTTGCATGCCTGAGGCCCTGGGTTCAATTCCTCAGCACCACATAAGCAAAAAGAAAAAAAGCTGGAAGTGGTGCTGTGGCTCAAGTGGTAGAGCGCTAGCCTTGAGCTGAAGAACTGAGGGACAGCGCCCAAGCCCAGAGTTCAGGCCCCACGACTGGACCAAAATAAATAAGTAAATAAATAAATATTTATATCTTAAGTGAAAGAGAAGAGGACTTACAATCAAGTTAATCAAACATACAGTGGGAACTACACTACTTTGTAACAATATGGAAATGAATACATATGACCAGCAATTAGACTCATCAAGGTTTTACAAGTCATATATCTAAAAGATTAATTATATGGGACTCATATAACTCAATAGGGATTTTTTTTAATGGACAAAGAACCTTAACAGACATTTCTTCAAAGAAGACATACACATGGCTATCAAGTACACAAAAAGATACTCAACATCATTAACTACCAAGAAAACACAGAACTACTATGGTAGCCTATCATATATTTGTCTCTGAGGATAGCTACTGTTTAAAAAAATAGTAACTATTAGTGAGGAGATGAAGATTAGAACCTTTTGCATTATTATTGTGAATGCTAAATAGCATAGCTGCTATGTAAAACAGTATGGAATTCCTCAAAAGCAAATTAAAATAGCAACTGCCATCTGATCTTGGTATATGTCCAAAATATTTGAAATCATAATCTTGAAGAGACATTCCTACTCCATTGTTCATTGAAGCATTACTCATCAAAGCTGACATGGAAACAAATCAAGTATCCACTAGGGAGTGAATGAATAAAGGAAATGTAGCATGCAATGGAATATTATTCAGTCTTTACAAAAAAAATTATAAGGAAATCCTGGCATGATTCTAACTGAAATAAGCCAGAGACACAGAACAAATACCAAATGATTCTATTTATGTACCTGTGTTAGTCAAACTCACAGAAGCAGAAAATAGAACAGTGATTGTCAGGGACTGCAGGTAAAGGTAAGGGAGAGTTGCAGCTGATTAATGGGTATAATGTTTCAGCTCTGCTATATGAACAAGTTTCTAGAGACCTGCTGTTCAAGAATGTCTACAAGAATGTTATCAAGACAGTATTTTATACTTCAACATTGTGTTAAAAGGACAGATCTCATACTGTTTTGTTGTTGTTTTTGTGCTAGTCCTAGGGCTTGAACTCAGGGCTTGGGTACGGTTTCTGAACTTTCTTTGCTCAAGACTAGCATACTTGAGCCACACAGCACTGCTTCTAGCTTTTTTGGTACTTAATTACAGATAAGAGTCTCACAACCTGGGCTAGCTTTAAACAGCAATCTTCAGATCTCAGCCTCCTGAGTAGCTAGGTGTGAGACACCAGCACCTATGACATAAAACACCTAATGTTCTTGAATTAAAACACAAACAAGCAAAACCAACAGGACTCAAAGAAACTTGGAAGTGTTGGACAGATCTATTATCTAAATGTTGGTAATGACATCACAGATATTTATATGTCCAAATCCTTCAAACAGTATAAATTGAGGTTCTTTGTATATCAACTTGACCTCAATAAAGCTTTTGTTAAAAGACAACCAATTATAGAAAACTGGTCAAAAGTGGGGAAGAAAATAATTGACAGGTAATTGTCTTATCCTGCTAATCTCTCTTTTTATTAAATTTATTTCTCATTGTCTTTAAAGGAATTTCAATTCAACATGTCAATCTATGAGTATAATGTGTCTTGATCAACCCTGCTGATTTCTTTTTTTTTTTTTTGGGTCCAGTCGTGGGGGCTGAACTCTGGGCCTGGGCACTGTCCCTCAGCTCTTCAGCTCAAGGCGAGCGCTCTACCACTTGAGCTACAGTGCCACTTCCGGTTTTCTGGTGGTTTATTGGAGATAGGAGTCTCACGGTCTCTCCTGCCCGGGCTGGCTTTGAACTGGGATCCTCAGATCTCAGCCTCCTGAGTAGCTAGGATTACAGGCGTGAGCCACCAGTGCCAGGCTAACCCTGCTGATTTCTAAGAGAACAATCTGCTTATAAATGTGTACCACACTGGGCACCGGTGGCTCACACCTATAATCCTAACTACTCAGGTGGCTGAGATCAGAGGATCATGGTTTAAAGCCAGCCCAAGCAGGAAAGTTCATGAGACTCTTATCTCTAATAAAGCACTAGAAAACCGAAGTAGCACTGTGGCCTTGAGCTGAAAAGCTGAGGTACAGCGCCCAGGCCCAGAGTTCAAATGACCCCCCCACAAAAAAAAGTGTAATCATCACCATACAATTCAGCAGTCACAACTCTAGTCCTTTTAGCTCAGAGATATAAAAATATATGTGGTGTACAGAGGGGTTACAGTTTCATAAGTCAGATAATAAGTAAATTTCTTTTTGGACAATATCACCCAGTAGCATTCTACAGTGGGTGACTGGTAAATAAACCATGGTTGTTAGGGACTGAACTGTGTCCCTCCCCCCCCCCGACATTGAGGCATTGAATCCTAATACCCAATGTGATTGTATTTATAGATATTTATTACCCTCCTATACAGAAGTAATAAAGGCACAATAGTACATAAAGCAGGAATAAGAAGGCCCCAACCATTAAGTCTGGTATCCTTATAGGAAAAAGAAGACCCTAAAGATGTCTCTTTCCACAAGTGCCAAAAGAAAAAGCCATATAAAAACATAGCAAGAAGAAAGCCATCTACCAGTCAAGAAGAAAGGCCTCACCAGAAACCAACCTGATAGCACACTGATCTTGGGCTTTTAGCCTCTAGTCTGGTGAAGAAATAAATTTATGTTATATAAGCCATTCAGCCTGTGATATTTTGTTACAGCAGTCCTATCCAACTAATACAGTGATATATCCAGATTGGATATACTACTCAGAAATAAAATGGCATGCTATTCAGCAACAGAAAGAAATTGATTATTGCATACTCTGCTTGGATAACTCTCCAGAGAATTATGCTAACTGAAAAATGTCAACCCCAAAAGATCACATACTGTATGACATTTATGTAACAGGCTATACGGGAGGCACTTATGGTGATGGAACTGTTCTGTATCTTAACTATATCAGTGTTGATATGCTGGTTGGACTACTGCACTATAATTCTGCTATCACAGGAAACATTTGGGGTCTATTTTATTTTGAACAGGTACATGTGAATCTACAATTATCTCAAAGTACAAAATTTAAATTCAACGAAGAAAAAATATAATCAACACAAAGCAAGGGACTATCAGCAAGGTATGGCACTAAAATCTGCTCCTTTTCTCTCCCCCCAGTTGGACTCATACAGCGTAGGGTCAACTAGTGCTGAGCAGCAGCACAAAAGGAGTAAGAGCACAAACCTAAAAGGGAAGAAATCAAAGGGACAAACCTATTCCAGATTTCCAATTCCTCTGTCATTCCTGCACTCTCTCCTCTAAATAAGTTCCGATTGATCACTATCTTTGAAAAGAAACATATACATACTTATATATACAATAATTTTGATATACTTATGATTTTAATATATACTCTAAACCTCAGGACCCTCAGTGCAGGGCCTGATTCCTTAATGCTCAGGGCCTAAGAATCCATCCACATGTACCTGCCCTGTCCACCTCACATATATACTGCCTGCCCCATCATTCACACATAGTACTGAAGACAGCCCACTTGATGCTTTTAAATTAATAAACATTTAAATCGATTTGGAAGGCCATTCAGTTCATTGCAAAGAATATAGATCTGGGAATCAGATCATTTCAGACTCTGATTCAGCTCTACCACTTACTACTATATCAATTCCCCTGTAACTTAAAGTTACTAAAATGCAATAACAAACTCTCTGGGCCTCTGTTTCTTCACTTCCTGGTTAAGAGGACAATCAAAGCAGGGAAATTTAGTACCAAGCCTAGAAAAGAAAAAGCTAGGAAACAGTTTCCTTCTTCCCTCCTGCTAAAGCTTTTCTCACCTGACTCCAGCCTGTAATCTCTTCTTTTAATCAGAACTACAGCAGAGCAAGGCCCTTTGAAATACCTTAAAGAGTTTTTCTCAAATCTCAGTCTCCCCTTAGAATGTGTCCATTTAGAAAAATAAAGCCAAATGATCACCTGTAGCAGCTAATGCATGCCTCAGTCCTGCAGCAACCCAAACAACTTTCTCTCTCAGGAGCTGTCAAAAGAAAAGGATCTGGAAATGAAACATCTACAAAATTGTATGTCATTTACAAATACCACAAAATACAATATGGTATGGTCTCTATTAGGCACCTAATTGGCTTAAAGCTACACCTACACACACACACACACACTCTCTCTCTCTCTCTCTCTCTCTCTCTCTCTCTCTCTCTCTCTCTCTCTCTCTCTCCAGAAATTCCTCTCTATTTATTACAAGATTTTTTTTAAAAACTTTAAAATATCACAGAACAAAACCATATTGCACCATCTCTCTAGGCTAGGAATAACCGTCAAGGTCATCTAGTCCAGGGGTTTGCTAAGGTTTTCTTAAAACGGCTAAATTGTATTTTATTTTGGACTTTTACAGGTCATACAATAGCTGGAATACCACTGAGCTCTGTCACTGCAACACAAAACAGCTGTAGAATGTAAATAAATGAATGATCATGGCTGTGTGCCAGTAAAAACTAACAGGGACTCTTAGCTTTCCCATTCTTGATCTAACCAATGCAGAACTCCTCCGCAGCATCCACCAAATGGCCATGCAACCCTAGCCCAACACCCACCTCTTTTAGTGCCTATTCCATCTTTGTAGTTCCATTTGTCTCTTTCATTGGAGCCAAACCTCTCTGCCTGTGGCTTCTGACAGTGCTTTCCAAATATTTGAAGACACTTGTCATGTCCTCTCTAAGACATTTTGTGGGGGTTTTAAAAATAAATCCTTGAATTCTTAATACTACTCCCTTCAAGATGCAGACCTTAATTTCCCTCCCCTGTGTGGGCTGGACTTGGTGACACATTTCTAATGAAAAGAAAAAGAAAGTGATGAATGACTCAGAAACAAGGTGACAAAAGGCCCTGAAGCTGCCTGGCTGGAATCTCCCTCTTTTCCCTTGGGAGAAGCCAGATGCCATGTCTGAAGAGTCCTATAGAGGCCCACATGGCAGAGCATGGAAATGGATGTGTAGCCCAGTAAAGCCTACAGAGGTGGCATGCAGACCCCAATGATGCCCTGCCTTCCACCTCATGAGATAATGCTTCTAGTTTTAAGCTGCTAGGTATGGAGGTAATTTGTTGCCTAGTAATAAATAGGTAACTAGTGCAGATCTCATCTGAAGACGAATATCCCCAGTTCTATCAGCCATTACTGAGTTTCAAATTCTCTGCCTCCTACTCTCTCTCTCTCTCTCTCTAGAAAGTGCTTATTAATCTCTCTCTTTTAAAGAAATTTTTGTACATCATTCAGTGCCCTTTATTTATAGGCCTTTTGTTTATTTGTAGACCTACTGTTTCTAGTCTTTAGGATCCCCAAGGATCAAGGACCTTCAGTCTTATATACCTTTATGTCAATGGCCTAGGAACCAACCTCCAACAAACACCATACCACAAAGGCAGACTGACAGCACACAGGACAGACCTTTGGCCACCCTTCTAGAGACTACACTTCTGTCAGTAGAGTCCCTGATCACACTGGTTCACAGCAAGGTAAGATCTTACAGCTAATACAATTTGAACACTTTGCCCTCTGAATTTAGAGTCCTTTTTTCCTAAAACTATCAGAAGCACTTTAGGAGTAAGCTCAGTATCCTAAACGTACTCATCTCCAGTTCCTTCTCCATACCTATTGCCCCTGCCTTAGTTTGGGTCACTATCTCTTATCTGGATTGTTAGCAGGTTTCCTACATTATCACCTCAGTCATCCTCCACACTACCGTCTGGCTCCTCTGTAATATGCTATTCATACCATCTAGCATACATTACTATGTTGACTATCCCCTACCTACCTACTCTATGCAGCCACCTCTACCTCTCCTCCATATTCTAACCATACGAAATGGCTGTTCCATGTGAACCCTCCAGTTTCATGCTTCTATACCTTTGTTTACACTATTCTTTTTATTTTTATTGTTATTATAAAGGTGATGTACAGAGGGGTTACAGTTACATATCAGATAAAGAGTACACGTCTTTTTGGATGTCACTCCTTCCCTCACTTTCTCCCAGTTTTTTTCCTCTCAATCCAACCCAAATTTGTATAGTTCATTTTCAACATCGTGTCTAGTAAGTACCACTGCTGCATTTGTTCACCCTTTGTCCTTCCATTTGTTTATATTATTCTTTGGCCCAGAATGTTCTTCTTCTGCAGACTTTGTGCATCCTCCTATACCAAGCCAGATAAAACTGTACTCAACTTTAAGAGTTGGCTTAAGCCCTCTGCTAGGAACAAGTCAGTCTTTCCTCCTATGGAATTGTACATGCAGCTGCCATAATTCTAACATGATACTACATTTTGGTACTTATCTATCTATTGTATACTACCAAACTATAAAGACTCTCAAATGCAAAGACAGGTGTTATTCACCTGTACCCTCACTGCCTGAACACAGTGCCTAATAGCATAGATACCAGTACATAAAAGAACGAGTTCCTATATTGCACTTTGGCTTATTTCTCCCACATAGGATACAACCTGTCAAAATGTTTTTACTTACCAATTCTGTCATGCAACATATTTTAACTTTGTTCCTCTCTGTCTTCCTTAATTATATGAATTATAATTAAGCCAAATTAATTATCACTAATATGTAGGTTGCTACAAAGACACTTATTTGCAACTGGGAGTTACTACACTTCCTATAGCAGAGAACTGGGGCTCTGTAAAGTCTAGACTTTTGTACATACCCTGAGAACTATTACTGGTAAATCATACCCCACAGAGCAGCAACTGAGCTCAGCAAGAGGGCAGAAGCCGGCCCAAACTCTCTCCAAAGAAAACAGATCCCCTACTCTTAATTGGAGTTCTAGGAAGTTAGATAGAACTAACATAGGTGATAAAACTAATTTTAGATTCTATCATATATCTTTAAAAATTCCATATGCAGCCAGGTATATCTTGATATCTATAATCTGAGCTACTCAAGTGGACGAAATCAGAGGATCATGTTTCAAAGCCAGCCCAGGCTAGAAAGTCCATGAGACTCTTATCTCCAATAAACTACCAAAAGGACAGAAGTGGAGCTATGGCTCAAGTTGTAGAAGAGTAGCTTTGATTTTAAAAGTCCAGGGACAAGCCGGGCAGCAGTGGCTCACGCCTGTAATCCTAGCTACTCAGGAGGCTGAGATCTGAGGATCGCAGTTCAAAGCCAGCCCAGGCAGGAAAGTCTGTAAGACTCTTATCTCCAATAAACCACTAGAAAACCAGAAGTGGTGCTGTGGCTCAAGTGGTAGAGCACCGGCCTAGAGCTGAAGAGCGTAGGGACAGTGCCCAAGCCCAGAGTTCAAGCCCCATGACTGACAAAAAAAAAAGTCTAGGAATAGAACCCAAGCCCTGAGCTTAAGTCCTAAAACCTGTATACACACACACACACACACACACACACACAAATCCATATGCCTATTTTATCACTTACACTATAAACGTCATAAAATAATGAAGTACAATTCATTGAAAAGAGTCTTGAACTAGGGCAGAATCCTGTTTCCCATTTCTGCTATTTAAAATGGTGGCCACTAGTACATATGGTCAGCAAGCCCTTAAAATGTGATCAGACTGAGTTGAGACATTTGTCAGTAAAAAACGTAAACTAGAGCCATAAGTGTGTGTATGTGTGTGTGTGTGTGTGTCTGGTCGTGGGGCCTGAACTCTGGGCCTGGGTGCTGTCCCTCAGCTCTTCAGCTCAAGGCTAGCACGCTACCACTTGAGCCATAAGCACCACTTCTGGCTCTGGCTTTTTTTTTTTTCTGCGTATGTGGTACTGAGGAATTGAACCCAGAGCCTCATCCATGCAAGGCAAGGGCTCTACCACTGAGCCACCTTCTCAGCACCAGCCCTAAGTCTTTGTACACTATAAAGCATATAAAATATTCCACTAATAATTGTTTCACTGATGACTTGCTGAAATGGTATTAGTTTAGATATATTGAATTAGTTAAAATGTTGTGGAAATTACTTTCTCCTACATGTAAAATATGGATAAAACATGAAAATGTCACATGAAGAAGAAGCCAGTCACAAAAGGTGACGTGTCACATGATTACACTTATATGAAATGCCCAGAACAGGCAAATCCACAGACTGGAAGAAGACTAGTGTTCATGAGGGGTGCAGGAAGGAAAGAATAGAAGTAGCTGTTATTCGCTGATGATGAAAATATTCTAAAATTAGACAACGGTGACAGAAGCATTTAAACATGCTCTATAAACAGGCTTTTTAAAACACTGGATTTGTATATCATGAAAGCATGAATTTAATGATATATGAATTGTACCTCGATAAAGCTGCCACTTTAATTTTTTATTTAGTTTTTTTGAAATTTTCTATCACTTCTAAGGCCCACATTGTATTTCTACTGGACAGCATTGGCCTGTACCACATTTGCCTAGGTTAGTATCTTTAGTTGTTGTTGTTGTTGTTTTTTGGGGGGTTATTTTTGTTTTGTTAGTCATGGGGCTTGAACTCAGGGCCTGGGCACTGTCCTAGTAGTGCTCTACCACTTTGAGCTACAGTGCCATCTAAATTAGTATCTTTAGGAAAGTCACTTTAATTTGGTTTAGTTCCTAACATAGTTTCCCCTATTATTAATTTCAGAATTCTAAAATGTCATTTGGATTTATGAGATATATGACTGTTTTAGTTTATAAAACATTACATTATAAGAACTAAGAGATGTCTTTTACTAATAACATCAATCTCACCAACTAACTTTTCTCAGAACGGCCTTTTCATCAACTCAAATTCAGCCTTTTATTAAGACTAAAGACAGCCGGAATCACCTGGAAACAGTTAACAAGCCAGAGCAAGCTAATATTAGATGTCCTCACCTCAATGATCTGGGGAACCACACATCTTCGAGGCCCATGAGGAATTCCCAACTGGCCAAACAAGTTAGATCCACATGACAGAACTTCACCTCCTTCTGCAAAATATAAGTACTTAGATTGCAAATCTAAGAAGTAAACATATGTGCTAATGGGAAAGTGCTGAAGGATGAGATACAAAGCAGAGAAAGAAGGTAGTAGAAATCCTGAGTTTCAGGGCCTTCAAGACAAAATTCCCTTCTTTTATTCCACTAGGAATAAAAGCTATAGGATTATCTGGGCAGAGAACACTGCCTAATATTGGAATGGGAAAGAAAATACTCCCCACTTCTCCAGTTTCCAGATAACATAATTTCCCTTCAGTTCCTTTACCATTTTCTCCCCCGGTCTACAGATAAGGGGTCACCTACCCAAGTGATAAGTTTGAGAAAAGGGATGATATATAGATAAGATATATAGATAGATAGAGAGACAGAGAGAGAGAGAGAGAGAGAGAGAGAGAGAGAGAGAGATGGTGGTTGATGCCTTCAGCCATCTATGCTGACATATATCAAGAGTTTCCCTTTTGGGACAAGTCTAGAGTTTGGAAGGAAATTTGGACCAAAGGAATATTATAACTACTTGGCCTCATAATTAACCCTTTTCTTCACTTTGCCTTTATCAGTAAAAAGCTGAAAGTTTTCATCTCCAACTCTGACCACCCTGTGCCTTTCTCATAATTGGTTATGACAAGTGGAGGGTTATCCACTGACTCCCTGCAACCCTAACACAGGCCTACAATAAGCACTTCCTAAATGATAACTATTGTTTAACTACTACATAAATAAGATTATTTTTAAAATGCTAATCTAACCCAGAGTCATGCTAGACAACCACTGGTATATATCCCCAGCCCCTGATCAGATTCCAATAATTACTCCTAATTAAATACATATTATAGAACCCCCTCTGCAGAAGAGGAATGGTAGTGTGCCAGGTGCCAGTGGCTCACGCCTGTAATCCTAGCTACTCAGGAGGCTGAGATCTGAGGATCATGGTTCAAAGCCAGCCCAGGCAGGAAAGTCCATGAGATTCTTATCTTCAATAAACCACTCAGAAAGCCAGAAGTGATGCTGTGCTCAAACGGTAGAGTGCTCACCTTGAACTGAAAAGCTGAGAGACAGTGCCCAAACCCAGAGTTCAAGCCCTACAACCAACAAAAAAAAAAAAAAAGAGAGAGGAATGGTGATACATGAGGAGGGGTTTTTTTGGTTGTTGCTGTTTTTGGCTTTTTTCTCCCTTGGTACTGAGGTTTGAACTCAGGGTCTGGGCACGGACCCTAACTTTTTTGTGCTCAAAGCTAGTGCTCTGCCACTTGAACCATAGCTCCATTTCCAGCTGTTTGTGGTTAATTGGAGATAAGAGTCTTACAAACTTTCCTGCCTGGTTGGCTTTGAACTGCAATCTTCAAATCTCAGCTTCCTGAGTAGCTAGGATTACAGGAGTAAGCCACCAGTTTCTGGCATGAGGAGTATTTTAAAGATGGGGCCAAAGTTCAAGAGATAGACAATAGGATATTTCCAGACAAAGAAAAGACCATCAACTTTTTATGCTAGAAAGAAAAGTACAGGGCATGTGGAAAATAAGAGACAAGGTAACAGAGATAGGTAGGCACATTATAGAAGACCATTGCTAAAAAACTTGGGATTTACACTCTGTATAGGACAATCCACAAGGGTTTAAGGTAGCTGTTCCAAAGAGCATGATCTATTAACACTTTGACTATACTCCTGTAAAATCTACTTTCTTTTCTGCCTTCACAGAAACCAAATAGTTTTATCCTAATGTATTCTTTTAAAAGGGATGAGTATGTAATTCAATGGCAGAGCATTTGCCTCATATGTGTGAAAAATAAAGAGAGAAAGATAAAAAGGGGAGGAAAATCCTCTCTTGTTGAAGGTGCCCTGGAACTTTCCTTGAGGACCAGAAAGAACATCCATGATGCAGTTCATATCCAAAGCTTTGTAGTGATTAAAAAAAGAATATGTAGAAGTGAAGTTACCTGTGAGCATAATAGTAAAATCCCAGCCACAGGCCACTTGCTGGACAGGACAGCCAAGGAGGGATTTGCAGAGAGTAAAATACAGAACATCCTCTGTATGACCAAGACCTAACTGCCCATCTTTGTTCAGGCCACAAACAAAAAGGCCTCCTCCATCTGCAAAATATAAAGATTTCAGTGATAGTATGCCCAGGGAAAATGACAACTTTCCAAAGAGAACAAAAGAATATCACTAATGAACTGGAGTCACAAATGAGTAACTTTGCTCACCCAAAATAATATTTATAACCTATGCATGTTAATGTGTCCTGGAGCCAAATGGGCCAAGGGCTTCCAATCTAATATCTAAATGGGAACTCAAGTCCTGGAGAGGGGCCAGTCCCCAAACGAATCATCTTCTATAACAAGAGAGCCAACATTTATTCAACACTTAGAATGTGCCAGGTACGGTTCTAAGAGCACTACATGTGAGGCCAACTTATCCTGCAGATAATGTCTAGAGCCCAGAATATTTTCAGAGGCCCAAGAGAATGGCTTAATTTTGAATTTTTTTAAAGCAAGAAAACATAATGTAATAATAATTCACACATAATTCTAAACTAGCCTATAGTGTACTCATTTTCATTTGAATACATTTGTAAAACATAATTCTGTATGTATGTGTGGTACTGGGATTTGATACTCTACTGCTGGAGCCATGCCTCCAGACATTTTTGCTTTAATTATTATTCATATAAGGACTCATGCTTTATGCCCAGACCAGCCTTAGACCACAATTCTCCTCTCTCTACCACACAGTAGCTGGGAATAAAAGCATGAGCCACCATACTCAGCATAAAATATAGCCTTTAAGATTTCCTTACAGAAGAAAGTATCTATGAAGATGAAAATACCAAGTACCCATGAAAATTATAATACAGCCTTATTAACTCCCCAAATCTCCATTCACATTCCTCATATAACAGATAATGAAACTGTGGCACAGAAAAATTATTTGTCCACAATCACATAGCTAAAAAAAATTACAGAAACAGGATCTGAAACCAGGGAGTTTAACTGCAGAGCTTATGTTTTTACCCAAATACAGGACCTTCCTTTGCAATACTATAGCATATGTAATACTTGGAGCCCTGTCTTACAGGGACTTGTTCCAAGGTTTTGGCTCTCAAGGAACACCAAATTTAATTGCAATGTGAAAACTAAACAGTACAAAACAGGCTATGTATTGTAATTATGTCTGTAATTTGCCTTATGACCTTATATATTCAATGTCTCTGATTGAACCTCATTTGTATAAAATGTGGGAGTGGGGGATGATCTAGATGACTGAAGTTCTTCTAACTCTAACAACATAGCAATTTCTAATGGCAATTTGGCCCTTTCTCAAATATATTCTCTTCTTCGAAATATGAAAGATTTAAGAGACATCAATATAATATCCTAGGGAAAAAGGTTTCAAGAAGAAAATAAGTGGCTATTTTTGAAGGAAATTACCTGTGACAACTGCAGAGTGGCCTCCTCCTCCTGTGATCTTCTTGATATGTCCAGGTTTACAGAAGTCCTTCAGTTTCTGGGGCAAAAAAACATCTTCCTTATGACCAAGGCCAAGTTGTCCATAGCTATTTGCACCCTAGGGATAAAACAAGTCCAGGTTGAAAAAAAAAAAAACTGCCTATGTCTATGAACCTGTTTCCGTCTTTCTCACCGTCACATGCTTCTCAGAGCCCACAACAGATGATCCTTCAGATTCTACCATGATTGATTTTTGTTTTGTTTTTCTCAGATTTTTCTATTAGTGCACATGAACTGTCCAAAAGGGGAGTTCATTGCAATATTGCCTACATGAATGTAATGTACTTTGATCATATTCACACCCCCCTTTATTACTCATAAAAAGCTGTTAAATGTAACCTACATTTTGACACCAGTCCCATCTTTCAAACACCATGATTTTTATTTCAGAAGAATTCTACTACTTATCCAATGATACTCCTCACCTTTCCCTTCCAAGACTCTAATCCCCCATATATCCTGCCTTTGGGAAACTTCACAGGCATTCCTTCTGATAGATGCTAATTAGCTAAAGAGGCTAAGGAAAGAAATGACAAGGAATAGAAACAAAGTGGGCAGAGAATGTTCTGGAATTAGTTCTTTTCCCTTCTCTCCACATTCTCCATGGCAATGACTTTCTGTAATGAAAGTTAGCCCCTTTGTACAACTACTTAATTGTTTTTAAATAACAGAAAGTTAGCTAAGGAATCTGTACCTTAAACAAGATGCATCACTATTGTATTTGGACTTTCCCAAGTACAATGTTTTTTGTTTGTTTTTTTGGTAGGCCATGGGTCCTGAACTCTGGGCCTACATGCTGTCCCTCAGTTCTTCAGCTCAATGCGAGCACTTTACCACTCAAGCCACAGCACCACCTCTGGCTTTTTCTGCTTATGTAATGCTGAGGAATCAAACCCAGAGCTTCATACATGCATGGCAAGCTCTCTACCACTGAGCCAACTCCCCAGCCCATCAAGTACAATGTTTTGCAACTCTAATATTCAGATCTTCCCTTGGTAAGCAATATGTCTATTGGTGTTGTAAAACAATAGAAGTCGATAATATGAATCTGGAGATGTAGCTGAGTAGTAGAGTGCTTGCCTAGCATGTGTAAAGTCCTGAGTTCAATCCCAGCACTGGAAAAAACAAAAAACAAAAACAAAAAAACTAGCCCATATTTGCTAATTTGAAACCCTTATACCTAGATATATTTCAGACCCAAATTTTTATGGAGTACTGGATAATGGTGGCTCACACCTGTAATCCTAGTGGTTACTCAGAAAGCTGGCTGAAGTTCAAAGCCAACCCAGGTAGAAAAGTCCTTGACATTCTTATCTCCAATTAACTAGCAAAAAGCCTCAAATGGAGGCATGGATCAAATGGTAGAGTGCCAGTTTTGAGTGAAAAAGTGCAGGGACAGCACCCAGGTCCTGAGTTCAAGATCCAGTATTATCACACACAAAAATTAGTTTTAAGCAATAATTTGGGAGGGAGCCAGGTACCAGTGGCTCATGCCTATAATCCTAGCTACTTGGGAGGCTGCAATCTGAGGATCACAGTTCAAAGCCAGCCCGGGCAGGAAAGTCCATGAAACTTATCTCCAATTAACCACCAGAAAACCGGAAGTGGTGCTGTGGTTCAAGTGGTAGAACACTAGCCTTGGGTTAAAGAGCTTAGGGACAGCCCCCAGGCCCTGAGTTCAAGACCCATGACCATCACCACCACCAACAACAACAACAATAATAATAATTTGGGGCTGGGAGGGTGGCTTAGTGGTAGAGCGCTTGCCTTGCATGCCTGAGGCCCTGGGTTCGATACCTCAGCACCACATAAGCAAAAAGAAAAAAGCCAGAAGTGGAGCTGTGGCTCAAGTGGTAGAGCGCTAGCCTTGAGCTGAAGAGCTGAGGGACAGTGCCCAGGCCCAGAGTTCAGGCCCCACGACCAGACCCAAATATATATATAATACATCAATTGAATTATAAAAGTGAAATGCCTTTGTACAACAAGTTGGTGTCAATAAAATACTATTAAAAAAATAATTTGGCATATATATCATATAGATTTATGCAAAATCTGGGGAAAACATCCCATAAGCAAAATAGTTCTGCAGTAGAAGATACAAATACAAAAGTGAGAACACATAAACAGCTTTACATTCAGTATAGTTAGAGCTTTCAGAAGGTTTTATATTAATACTGAAGATCAGGGCCTACGGGCCTGCAGGGAAGATATTAACAAAATTTCAGAAATTCTTATTTCTTCAAATGTCTCCTCCATGCTGATTTGTCCTGGGATAATGAATCTTTGAAAATCTAATTTTTGAGGACACCTCAAATGCAAACTATATAATTCTAACAAACAAAATCCTATCTCCTACCGTGTATTTCACAGTGACCCTAAGCTTCAAGAACTCCAAGGTGGAAGAGTAAGCCATGGCAGGGACAGACACCTAGAGGCCATTAGGAGCAACAGAAGTTCCAAATGTCCAGCATTTCTCTGCACAGTGGCCAGTCACCTTTAATCTTCTTAACAACCATAGATAAGGCCATTATCACTATCTTTTACAGATGAAGAAACTAAAATAAACTTCCCATAGTTACATAGCTACATGTGTGACAGGTCATATGCCTACACCTTTCACTAGTACTTAATGTGGGGAGAATGATGGAAGGGGTGATACTGATCAAGATGCACTATACTCACAAACTAACACATTGAATTAGAATCTCTTTGTACAATTACTGGAAGATATTTTTTAAAAACAGAACAGGCTAACTTACCTCATGGAGAAAAGAAATAGTCTAACACATACACACAAGAGAATAAAGAAAGAAAAGAAAATGACTTAGGATGAATTAGCTAGCTCAGAGACTAAGCTACATGACCCTATCTAAAGTAGCAGTCACCTTATTACCTTATTCCCTTTCTCTGCTTTGTTTTTCTTTATATAACTCTTTGACATTACAGTTCTCCTTGTTTACTGACTCCTTGGCTAGAAAGTTAACTCCACGAGGACAAAACTTCATTTTGTTTTTTGCTCACTGCTATTTCCTCTGTACTGGAAACTGTGCTGGACCACAGAAGCTCTGCATACATTTACATGGGTTACTGGATGTCAGACATACAGGCCCCCACTCAGAAAAGAGCAAATGAAAGGCTATTGCACAGCGTCAAATAGAATGTACATGTACTGGAATGTCATAGTCAGCTCTGTGGCTGCCCCCGTTATCAGGGTTGAAGGCTGCTTCTGCAGGGAAAAGTGAGACATGAACACTCTGAGATCAAATACACTTCCAATATTTGTAATGAGGCAAGAGTCCCTAAAACTAGAATAAAGAAAGATGGAATAAATTAACCTAAACTATTAAAATTATATTGCTTCCCTTCATTAAAACACCCCAGACACATCCAACACACCCACCTAATAAGATAATCACCCTTACTATGGAATGAATTGTGTTCCCCAAAAATTTTATATGTTGAGACCCTAACTTCTGATACAAGAATGGGGACCATCTAGGCCACAGAACACATAAAGTCCACAGAATCTTTTGGTACATGACAGGACAGACATGTATGCTTCTTGCCAACATTGGTCATCTGCCCATAGCCCATCAGCCTTTATAAATATCCAAATGGCTCTTGGCAGAAAAAAAGATTCCTCATACCTGCTAGAACATGTTGTTATTTGAAGATATGGCTTTTAAAGATGTTTATTTACATAGTAACTAAAGTTAAATGATGAGGTCATAAGAGTGGAGCCCTAATCCAATCTGACTGGTCTCCTTATAAGAAAAGACCCAAAGTGCTCACATACAAAGAAAAAGCTACCAGAGGCCTCGATGAAACTAAAACTGCCGTCACCTCAATCTTGGGCTTCTTGATCAAGGACTGTGAGAAAATAAATTTTTATTGTCTAATCTCTTGATCTGTTTTATTTTGTTATGGCTGCCCAAGCAAACTAATACACACACCAAAATTATGCAGTAGGAAGAAGCCATCATCTCACCTCCAAGCACAGTAGGAAAGTATGGTTCAACTATCCTTCTGATTCAGTTTATTCTAGGACGTATCTAGAAAGGCTCTTTGATTCAGACCTTTTGTTGTCCACACAGATTTATCTCCTGCCTAGAAAAAGTCAGAGACTGCACACACTCAAGCCCTAACTTCACCTCCAGCTCAAGTGTCACCTCAGAGAGCCAGACAGGCCACTCCGCTCTCTCCTGCCAGACTACAGCCTGACACTCAACAAGTGCAAGGTATGCAATGATAACTGCCCTTAAACAACATAGTAAGCGCTTTTTAACAGCAATACAGATTTACATTATCTTTTCCCAACACACACACACAGGCTAATCATTCAAGCCTCGTTATCTCCCAAACATTACCAAATGGCTGGGCCCACAAGCACAAGCACTCATTCATTCATCCTTTAGTCACTGAGTATTTGCGGGTGATCTACAAGATGCCTGGGACCAATCGATACAAAGCAAACATGACAAGGCTCGGTATCCACCAATGACGCTTACAAGTAGCCAAGGAAACTGACATGAACAAACCACACATGTCATTTTACAATTGTGGTGTCTGCTATGAAAAAAACCACGACACTGGACATCGACTGCCCTCCTCCCCTTCTCGCACCCCCAGGACCCATAGCATCAAGTATCAGCAAATATGCAGGGTCTGCGCGCTGCCTGCACCGCAGGCCTCACCTCCAAAGGAGGCTCCCGAAGCTGGGGCAGCGCTGGAGCATGACCTCCATCCTCCGGGCAAGAGGAGGTGCGGCACAGGTGGCCCCCACGGGCTCCAGGGTCCGCCAATTCTCTCTCGGCCGGGCCCTCCGCGCTGTCTTCCCGGGCGCTGTCCCTGCCGAGGTCCCTCGCGGAGCGGGCGTTCTGCCGTGGGAGTGGAGTCCCCTCCCCAGGGCCTCGGCCCTTCGGGTCCAGACCCCACGCCAGCCGGGCATAGCCTCAACCCAGCCCCAGGAGTCTCCCACCCGCAGCCCGAGTCCGCCCTCAGCTTCCAAGTCCCGACCCACCCAGGTTAAGGCCGCGAGCTCCGGGGTCTCCGCGACCCCACGGCCGGCCCCAGTCCGGGGGCGGAGCCACTTACCCAGGAGAAGAGCGCGGCGGCGGCGGGGGCGGCCGCCGGGGTGCACGGCTGGCGCTCCATGCGGGCTGCTCCGCCTGCGCTTCCGGGAGGGGCTGCCATGGGGCGGGGCGGGGCCTGATTGTCTCAGGGGCGGAGCCTTGCTGAGAAGACCCAGAAGGGGGCGGGGCGGAGAGGAGGCGGAGTCTGTGGTTGGGCAGGGCTTGCAGGGAGTCCTGACTGACAGACCGCCACCCGGGTGCAGCCGAGAGCCCGTCCCAGCTGGGACAGATCGGAGTGTGGAGTCTCCTCACAACTGGTGGAAGGGTGGTACCCAAGTGACTTCGGGGCCTGCTGGACGTAGAGTCCGGACCAGAGGGACCTAGAGGGCGCTCGTTGTTGTCTGCCCGCCCGCCCACTCTCCCTCCCCGCCCTGGCCTTCCCAGCGCGCCAGACTACTGGGCCTCGAGCCGGCCTTTGCATTCTACTTTGAGTAATAATTCCTCACAGGTGCACTGTGCTCTGTAGTCATCAGAGCTTCCCCACGTTTTATCTCATCCGGTCCCGTATCCATGCAGAGAGGCGGCCACCATTTGATGGCGAAGGAAATTCAGTCCGGGCTGTTGGAGTCCTGCCCAGTGCCGTGGCCTGCTTTGGTTGGCGATTGCCGATCTGAGGCATTTTGGCAGCCGAATGTGATGTCTTGCATCACTGTGGCTGAGCTCTGGGCCTGGCACCACACGGGGAACTCACCCCTCTCCACGCTGAACCCGGGAGGCTGCTGGGACAGCCGCCAGCCTCCGGGTGCCAGGCACAGGGCCTGCCCTCATTCTGATGGTGGATAATAGATAGTTTTCACCCAGAAGAGATTTCCATGTAAAACGGCTTTCATCAGATACTATCATACTGTTTAGGGGATTAAGTAAATATAACTTTTTTCCCCCTGGAAGAAAATGTGGCAATGCATTCTGGGAAAATGGAATTAGGAACCAGGGACATCAATGATAGAACCCACATTCACTCAATAGCTCTTGGCCGCTCACCAGGCCTCACCAGGAGTTATGCCTGGAGCCCATAAGAAGTGTCTCAGAGGAGCTCCTACCCCTTAGTATTTCTTCTTGTTGTGTCACCTGAAGGCAGCCCTGGCCTTTAACTTTCCAGCCTAAGTCATCTTGGGATCATGAATGACTAAGAAAAATACAAAACAAAGCAGATCTTCATTCTCTGAAGACATACAGAAACTATGGCATGTTTGTTTGCTGGCTTGTTTTGTTGCTTTTTGTTATTGTTTTTTATTTTTTATTGTTGCTGGTCCTAGGGCTTTGCTTAGGCCTTGTCCCTGAGCCTTTTTGTGCTCAAGGCTAGCACTCTACCACTTCAGCCACAGCTCCTCTTCTAGCTTTATCTAAGTAATTTATTGGAGATAAAGAGTCTCACAGACTTTCCTGTCCAGTGTGGCTTTGAATCTCAAGCCTCAGATCTCAGCCTCCTGAGTGGCTAGGATTACAGATGTGAGCCACCAGCACCAGGCTTATTATTGCTCTCTTAACCATTCCTTTTAAGAATGTGTAAATGAGATGTAAAAATGAGATTCTTCCTCTGTTTTAGCAGAATCTTGAAGGCTGTAAGTTCCAATAACTCCCACATTATAAAGTACAGTGGGAGACAACCAAACCTGAGCACTTGCAAATCAGGTGTGTAGAAACCAGAACAAAACTTTCCGTGTATGGAAGAAGTTAGAAAGGCTGAGAGAGAATAGGCTATATGGCCACAGTTAACACTGTGGTGGGTTGGTACCCCCACACAGTGTTAACTGTGGAAAGGTGCTTCAGCTCCTTCCAGAGTGGAGCCTCAGCAGGGTACTGCTCAATTCCTGCTGAGAAAATTCATGGCTTACCAGCAAATAACAGCTCTGATGGTTGAGCAAAGAAATTGGTGTTTAGTGGAGGTCTTTCACATCCAGTGTTCTAAGAAAAAGAATGAGTATCTGAACATTTCCCCCAGCATGAGCATATTGACAGGATGGTATTCTCAGACCTTCTCCAAGGAAATTTCTGAAGGGGTAAAATGACACCCACAGGAGAATTGGCTACCAGATTCCCAGGGGGTGATGGAGATGAATTCAACAGCCCAGCCAGAGCATACATTTATCCACATCAAAAAATCCTGAGAAATCAGGTGGGAAGGTCTTTCAAGACATCCACAAGAGTGTGAGTCAGCAGACAATACTCAGCAAGTACAGAAAGCTCTGATGACAACTCACAGCACTATCAGACCAAAAAAAGAGCTTTTCTACCCTTAACCTTTTCTACCCCCACTAGCTACTACTCCCCCAATCCTGGAGGAGTCTAGGTATCCCAGTGAGTGGAGAAGGGGGAGTAAGGGAGTGAAGATACTAATGAACTCTTCTCAGTTCTAGAGGAAGAAAAAAACTAAACTTAAATTTTGATGTTTTAGATTTTTACACAGCAATGAACTTTCTTTTGTTGTATTGGGGATCTAACCCAGAGCTTTGCCCATGCTAGGCAACCGTTCTATCAGTAAGCTATATCCCCAGGCCTGGAGTTTGTTGGGGTTTTTTTGTCTTTTCTTTTTTGATACTGGTGATCGAACCCAGGACGTTGCACTTGCTAGGCAAGTGCTTTGCCACTGAGCTACATCCCAGCCCAAGGCCTGGAGTTTTTAAGTGAGAAGAGACACAGACATAGACCAGACAGAAAGGGAGAGAGATTGAGAGAAGAAAGAGAGGAGAGAGGGACAGAAGGAAGCCTCAGACAAACTGAAGCTCAGTTTCTCAATGGCTCCATCCCTTACTGGACCAAGATGATCCCTCTGTGCCATAATACACACAGAGGAAGAAAGGAGATTAGGAGACTAGAAGAAATTAAGAACATTTTAATATATATTTTTATTGTAAAGACACTGTACAGAGGGGTTACAGATACATGAGCAAGGTAATGAGTACATTTCCTATGGAGCATTGATACACCCTCCTTTATTTTTCCCCTCCATCCCTTTCCTTCACAACTCCTCCCACTCCCTCTCCCACAAAGATGTAAAGTTGGTTTTCAACATAGTGTCTTGTACATCTCATTGTTAAAATGGGTCATCCTGTATCCTTATTTCAGCATTTCGTTATTTCCCTTCTCCTCCCCAAATTAGAAAAATGTATATACAAGATGCAGGATACCAGAATCAAATACAGTGATAACAGGGATTGTAGCATGGGGGAAGAACATACAAAGAAACATTTTTAAAAATCACATAGTACATTATAAGGACATTTAAAAGAACAAAGATAAGAACTTCTTGTGTCCCTATCTTAGGGTTCATTTCGCTTAGCATCAGGTTATATGGTCATATGTACATAGCTTTTGACCTCTTCTGCTTGTCCTAGACATATACTAGTTATTGCAGATAAGGGAAACCATGGGACCTATGCTTCTTTGGGCCTGGCTTACTTCACTTAATATAATTTTTTCAAAGTCTTTCCATTTCCTAACAATTGGGGTGTTGTTATTCTTTCTGATGGAGGCATAGAATTCCATATTATATATATATATATATATATATATATATATATCACATTTTCTTGATCCATTCATCTACTGAGGGGCATCTGAGTTGGTTCCATATCTTAGTTGTGATGAATAATGCTGTGATAAACATAGTTGTTCTGGTAGCTTTAGTATGGCCTTGTTTGTGATCGTTTGGGTATAAAGTGGGATTGCTGGGTCATAGGGGAGTTCTATGTGGAGTCTTTTGAGGAACCTCCATAATGCTTTCCAAAGTGGTTGAACAAGTTTACATTCCCACCAACAGTGCAGTAGGGTTCCCTTTTGGCCACTTCCCCTCCAGCATCTGTTGTTATTAGATTTCTTTTTTTATGTGCTATTTTTCTTTTTCTTTTAATTGTGAAAATACCGTACAGAGGAGTTACAAGGGCAAGGTAATGAGTACATTTCTTATCAAGCATTGTTGCCTCCTTCTTTGTAGATTTCTTGATTATAGTCATTCTAACTGGGGTGAGGTAGAATCTCAATGTTGTTTTGATTTGCATTTCTTTTATGGCTAAAGAAGTTGAGCATTTCTTCATGTGTCTATTGGCCATTTTTATTTCCTCTTCAGAGAAGTCTCTCTTTAAGTCTTTAGCCCACTTATTAATTGTGTGGTTGTTTCTTTGAGGATTTGTTGTTGGGGAAATTAATTTTTTTAGTTCTAAGTATATTTCAGATATGAGACCCTATGGGGCTGGGAAGGTGGCTCAGTGGTAGAGCGCTTGCTTTGCATGCTCAAGGCCCTGGGTTCGATTCCTCAGCACCACATAAGCAAAAAGAAAAAAGCCGGAAGTGGCACTGTGGCTCAAGT